CCATTGTATGCTCATGGCACTTTTGTCAAAAATAAATAGATGTAAATGTGTGGACCTGAGCTTTGGCTCTCTATTCTGTTCAATCAGTCTGTGTCTGTCTTTATACTAGCACCATGCTACTTTTGTTACTATAGCTTTACAATATAGTTTGAAGTCAAGTAGTATGTTGCATTCAGCTTTGCTCTTTTCCTTCAAGATTGCTTTGACTATTTGGGGGGTCTTCTGTGATTTTCTATTCATTTTAAGATTTTATTTTCTGTTTCTGAATCTTACCACTTCCTTGAATTTTTACTTCTCCTCTGTGATGCTTCTATGCATGTAAACTATTAATATAAATAAAACTTATATGGCTTCTCTCCTATAAATCTGTCTTTTGTCAGTTAACTTTCCAAGCTCCCATGATGGAGTCTAAGAGTGTAGAGGAAAAGATTTTCCTTTTCAACAGCAGAAAAAAAGTATTTTTTTAGTACTTTGGGACTCCAAGGGTCACAATCTGGCCTAGCCAGAGGCCCCTTGGAGGTAGGAAGTTTGGGCCTTTAACTCACCATTCATCCTATGTATTTGATGGTGTCCAGAAAGATGACCTGCAATCATTTCCTAGCTCCAGGATACTGGACTTAGGACCAGCCCTGCCAAACCAGCCTAAACCTGTCCTTTGATGTCTTTCTGGAGGGAGAGTGAGGTACAAGGGTGTGTAGAAGTATTTAGTCTTCCTTTGATGGGATTTAATTTCTTCACAGGGCTCCCAGTACCCTCAGGCCAAACACCTACATTCATTAGCATCTAATTGCATCAATATCAGTTTCTGCCTAGGCACCTTAGCATCCACTTGTACCTCTTTCCACCTGGAGGAGTTCACTGGGACTCTCTTGCCATGCTTAGGTACTAGGAGCGGATACTTCTGTTACAGCAGTGATTTCCAACCCTAGTTTTGTCTGAGGACTTAAAAATTCTGATGAAATAAAACTCTAACGGAGCACAGACATAGGCTTTTAAAAAAGATACTAGAGAATGTCAAGTGCAATCAAAGTTGAAAAGCCATTGTGTTTAGTAACTTGTGTTTCCCAACTTGTTTGATCGTGATAACCACTAGATGCATATTTTAGAAATATAGATCTATAGGGCCTTCCCCTGGCTATGTCTATTCCATTAAGATGGAGAGACTGTAGGTATAGTTTTTGCAAGATCCAAAGTGATTCTTGTGCTTAACTCAGTGAGGCAACGCTTCTCATTGGTAGGGAGTGGGTCCTAGAATCTCACAGAACGTTGCCTATTTCCCTACTGGAATTTATACAGCTGGGACTTCGTATGTGACATTTGACTGTCATTCAACAAGTATGTATTAAATGAATGAGTGACTGAGTACTTCCAAATGAAGAAAATGGTGGAATTTTCTGAGTCACTGGAGATGAGTTTCTAATAATAGATGTGATTCTGACCATAATGAGAACAGATGCTCTGGATATCTATTACCCGTCCACTGTGTCCTAGTCACTCTGGAAGGTGTTTTGCATGTGTTATCTTATTTAATAAAAGCTCTGAGAGCAAATATTATCATTCCAAAGCACAGTAAGATAAACTGAGATTCATAAAGGCCTCAGAATCACGTGGCAGGATCTTGGCCTTAAAAGATGAAGGACAAGGGAAGGTCTGTTGCTAGGGAGACAGTGGAGTGGAGGAGGAATCAAATAACTCCCGTTTTGGTTTGGTTCTGCTGCCAAGCAACCAGTAGAGTCTGGAACAAGTCTTTTCCTCCCACTTGTCTCTTCCCTCCCTCCAGAGTAAGAGGTTGAGCAGAGGCTCTGTTGCGCCATGAGTTCATGCCCTCTTTACTGCACCCAGATTTGCAAACTTAGCTTCTCCTCCCTGTTGGGCCAAAGTGTTCTACAGGGTCCTAACACCAAGGATCTGGTGTTTCTTTCTTCTTTTCTTGCTGAGGCACCTGTGTGTTAGAAAGACTTTTTAAAAATTAATGACCTGAATTGCACAAACAACACTGTGCTCTCCCTGACTCTTCCGCATAAGAGGAGAGGACAGGGGAATGTAAAACTCCCTGAAGACTACATGTTTGTAAGTGTTACTCTGCTTTAAATACACCCTCCCATGGGTAATTAGAAGGAACTCCAGCTCTGCATGACCTACGTAAGTCTGAGCCTTGAGGAAATGCAGAGGAAGGAGTAACCTATGCTGGAAAAAGCTGCACCACAGAATAAAGAATAGGTTTAGAGCCATTCTGTGCTTCTTTGCAAACAGAAGGTGACTACAGGCATTTCTCAGCCAAAGCAGAGGGTCCAGGCAATGGGACAAAATAATCACTTTTCAATGTGGGAAAAACGGTAGCATTCTGGGTCCCGAGCAGGGCTCTTGGCAAGGCTGAGAATCCTGGGAGATGTACTTCCTGTCTGAAGCTAACTTAGTTTTCTCTTTCTATGTGGAAGGCTTGATTCAACAGCTAACCTAACCCTGCTGGTGAGAAGAAAGAACCTTAATACCAACCATCCTGTGAGCTTGAGATAAAGAGAAAGAACAATGTTCTTCCAGGGGAGAATTCCAGAGGCTGCAAGCCTGAGCAGCATTGGGTGGGGTGAGGGAAGTACAGGTTGGAGCTGACAGGAGAGCCTGACATGTATAGATATCTGGTGAGATTTCTGCACACTCAGGACCGGACATGGGAGTGCACCAGCTTCAGAGAAGGTTGGGTGAAGAAAGAGACCTGAGCCTGCCTAGAGGAGACTCTTGAAGAGAGGCAACAAGCTTGGGGCTCAGGTGTGGTGGTGGTGTTGGCACCAGCTCAGAGCAAGGTGTGTCATTATCCTGGCTGATAATGACACAGACGGACAAGGAAGAAGTGTCTCTGACCTTTGCTGGGCCCTCAGACTCCTTCTCAGCTCATGCTAAGACCCATCACGAGGACACAGAATGTTTCCCTTCCAAGAAATTTCTTAGCAGTTGTCAAGGCAGCAGCCCAGCTCCCCTTGCACATAATGACATTTAGCCAATCAGGCAGTGTACAGTTTCTGATTACTGAGCAGCTACCACACAGCAGACACGTGTGAGGGTGGATATGGTCCAACGGCTAGTGGGATGTAGTGAGAAGTTGCCTGAACTCAAATTCGCAGGCGGTGACCAAGTTATGGAGTCAGCAGAGGCTCCATGAATACTAGCTGTGTGTTTGAAGAGGGGATTGAGGGGTTGGGATGAAGGAGAGAAGCTGTCCACACACCTGACTTTAAGGTAATTTGGCCACACCTATTAGCAGATTGTGTTTGGAATACAGCTTCGAATCAGTGACCTCACTTCATGTTATGTTGTGTAGAGAAAATTGCTGGTTTAAGGGCTCAGGAGCCCCTGGTCTTACGACCCTAGAAAAGAAGAGTCCCATATAATCTTTAGAAGCTGACTATCACTGAGGGAGGGCATATGCTGAGTAGCAACTCAGAGGCATCATCAGTATCTCACTAGTCAGGGTACCTGGGCCTTGTTGCTGCTACAAGACCTCTTCTGAGTGAAACCAGCTGAATTCACAATGGACATTTTATCACATTAGCCTTTTCTTTTCTCTTTCAGACCCTGACCCACTGAGTTGATGTTGAACTAAATGAGTCTTTTGTTTCCACCAATGATAATTCATCTCCTCTTAGTTTTAGCAGAACCAGAAATATCTATTTTTATCCCTACTTCAGATTCATCTTTGCTACAGTTAAAGGCTCACCTACAGGTAGGGCTCTTTCGGTCTCATCACTTACCAAAGCCTGTCCAGAACTGTCAGTGGACGCAGAGCCAAGCCAGGAAGTCACCTTTGATCATTTAACAGCCTTCATCATTTTCACTTGGGGTTGGCTTTTTAAATTTGGGTGAGTTATATCACCACTTCTGGCTTGAAATCTTCAATTATCCTTGAGATGTGAGAACTTGAGGGTCTCTGAGAGCCAGTGGGCCTAGTTACTTACCCTTTCATTTAGGGGAGTTCCTTATCTGTTTGGGAAGTGGGGGCTTTGTCCTCGGCTAACTCCATGAGTGACTAACATGAGCAGCACATATTAGCACTTCTCTAGAATCTGTTGAATGAAGAGGGAAGAAATTAGATGATGAGAACACTGTTGGCTTGAACAGGCACAGCTGCGATCCTGGAGAGATCCTACAGTCAGAACAGGGAAGAAAACATTGTGGTCAGCAGGGTTGCCAGGTGTTGGAGCTAGAGCTGGAAGTGGGCAGAGATGGCGGAGGACTCAGCTCTGGGGACTCCACTGCTGGGTTTGGAGTGGAAGTGGTTAGAAAAGGCTTTCAAGTTTTTGGGTGAAGGCAGGATGCAGTTGGGTTAGGAAATGGGCAAAGGCCATGACCACCTGGCTGAGTAGAGTAGAGGGAAAAGGTTACCCTAGAAGAGGAACTAGCTGTTACAAACTTCCGAAGCAGGAGAGGGTTAAAGGTGTGGTTGGGGAAAGCAAAGCAGGTTTTCCCAGATTAATAAACCAGTTAGGGAGGGGTGGGGCTGAAGTAAATCATTCTGAATGTGTGTAGTTCCATGGAGTTGAGAAAAAAATGTGAGAAATAGATACAAAGGTCTTGGATCCCAAGAATCCATAGTCAATCAATTCCACATTTGTAGCATCCGCCTTCACTAAGGCAGGCAGGCGGGGGTGCCCCCGGCAGCTCCTCTTCTCTTCCTTTTGCCACTTGTCCACGTGTCCCCTGTTCTCTCCCCTAGAACACAGGAGCAACCACCTGCATGGGGAAGACAGCAGGTACCAGGGTCATTAAAGGACTCAGACCTCCTCCAGGGTGAACTCATTAAATCAGCCAAAAGCCTGTTGCTCATTCCTCCCCCAAGACACACAGGACACCTGGGTCTGAGGGGGAAGGTGGCAGTGGTGACATCATTGTCAGACTGCCAGTGCCATTATGTCAGGTGAGTGTTTTCATCATGCAAGCTGAGTCAAAGGGTGATTGAGGGGAGTGGGGTGAGTCATGTTTAACAAGAATGAAAACAGAGCAGCTGGGGCAAGTCCATTTCCTTGAGATGTTCATCTTATAAAAGCCAGCTGGCCGTCACACTCACAATAGACGCAAGCGACTCCACGGACCCGTTCTTCTCCAGGTACCAGGTGCGTCTCTGATTGCAGATGGTTTGGAATTCTTGGTTATTCTTTTATAATTGGAAATTGGATGAGATGACTGTGCATCAGAAGGTTGATGCAGGGTATTCACTAAGGTTAGAGAACACTAGAATAGCTTTTTTTAAAAATGAAAAGAGAGTTCATGGTCTGAAGAGAATTTAGACATAATTAAGTCAGCCAGTCAGTAGATGGTCATGGAAATGGGGATCTAGGAAGGGGAGGGATTCATTCAATGCTCACAATTCATAGCTGACAAGGCAAGGTTCAGGTCTACAGTCCTGTGAGCAGCACACCATTCTCTCTGATATGACACTTGCTACGGAAATTTTAATTTATTGGGTGGGTCTCTACTAAGTGTTTACTGTGTGTATTTAAGTCAGTGTGCTAGGCACTTTAGATAATTCAAGCCAGTATGGAGGTTACCAAACTTGCCACCTAGCAGGGAAAGTAATGCATGTGTGCAAATAGATGAGATGCAAGGCAGGTAGCTAGTAGGAAGGAGAGGTAAGGGAAGGGCTGAGCGGTTGGGGAGCATTGCTCAAGAGGAGCTGCGTGGTGGTGGAGTGTTATATGAGCTGCCGTGGAGGAGTACTCAACGAGCAGAAATGGGGAGGAAAACATTGTAGAGGAGACCGGATGAGCAGAGACCAGAAGCAGAGCCACAGTGGCTTGGACCAATAGAGAGCCAGCCTGCAGATTACAGGGCATTTTATATGGAACCAGGAGTGGGCAGACTGCAGCCGTTTCTGTGATGTCACTCTCCGAAAGACCTGGCATGTGGCTTCACACGCCCCACGGATGGCAGCTTTCTTGGGTCATTTTTCAGTGAGGAATATAACACGTCTGGGGAAGAAAGTGAACAGAGCAAAGTCTCTTTCTGAATTAGGGCAGAGCAATATGCTCTCAAACTCCCCCTCTTGAAAGGGCCCAGAAATTGCCAGAGCATATTTTACTTCAAACATAGGGCATTCGTGAGAGAAAAGAGAGGTTTTCCCCTCTAACTGGGCCTCTAATGAAATTTATTTGACATGAAACTTGGATTGCTCTCTGTTTCTTTAAATCACTGGGTCACTTTGTTTGTCTCTAGGACCAACCACTGTTGAAGCATGAGCTCCCACCAGCAGAAGCAGCCCTGCACCTCACCCCCTCAGGTTCATCAGCACCAGGTGAAGCAGCCTTGCCAGCCTCCACCTCAGGAGCCATGTGCCCCCAAAACCAAGGAGCCCTGCCACACCAAAGTGCCTGAGCCTTGCCACCCCAAGGCACCGGAGCCCTGCCACCCCAATGTTCCTGAGCCTTGCCACCCCAAGGCTCCTGAGCCCTGCCACCCCAAGGCTCCTGAGCCCTGCCACCCCAAGGCTCCTGAGCCCTGCCACCCCAAGGCACCGGAGCCCTGCCATCCTAAGGTGCCTGAGCCCTGCCACCCCAAGGCACCGGAGCCCTGCCATCCTAAGGTGCCTGAGCCCTGCCCCTCAACGGTCACCCCTGCACCAGCTCAGCAGAAGACCAAGCAGAAGTAATGTGATCTGCCACCAGCCTTTGAGGAGCTGATCACTGGATGCTGAAACCCCTTTCCCATTCTGCTTAAGAGTCCCTTGTCTGTTGCCCTGGCAACTAGCATGCTATTACCCTCTGCACTATCTAAAAATATCCCTTGCACTCACTCTAGAGGGTTCCTGAGCCTCTGGACATCGCTGAAAGTCTCACTGGTGAACTAGTCTTCCAGGGGCTCAGGGCTGATGCGAAGAGGGATTGTGGGAGGAACGGAGTGACTCTTCCCTGTTCGGCTTCATTAAATCAGTTCTAATGCCACACCTGACTGTGTGTGTCACTGGCTAATCCAACTTTCATTACTCTCACAGCTAAAGCTGGAACACTGATCATGAGGTCTGTAGTCTGAAGATGTCTGTAGATCCAAGCAGTGTGACCTTGTGTGTGTGTGTGTGTGTGTGTGTGTGTGTGTGTGTATCTGCACATCTTTTGTACACAAAGGACATGCCTACTCTGGCAGGGGGAGTGTCCAAGGTCAGTCTGTAACCTTGCACGGCCACAGCTAGAGCAGGACTTTCTTCTTTCACCTAAGTGAGCCACACCTGAGGGTATTGGATTCCTGTTTCAAGATACCTCTGATACAAAACTGTTGCATTTAGATCATCTTTATTCCACTCATCTGAGTCCTTTTTAAAAATTATTTCAGAGAAATAGTGTGTGTACAAATTCCAACTTGACTATTGCTCCTTGTTCCTTTTTGTTCTCCCTTTTTGATATCCTCAGTGCATGGAACCAAACACAGCACATATCTGCTCACACACAGGGTAGATTTCTGTACACAGATATCGAGTATGCACTCACATCTCCACACACTTAGATCTCCTAAATCACACACTTCGCACTCTGACTCAGTCACCTTATTTGGTCTCCTTTTCTCGTTGAGTGCCCACTGTGAAGACACTTAACACTACAGCAGGAAGGGGAATGAAATCTGCAGGACCTGCCCTAGGGGAATCCCCAGAGGTGATTTCACCACCTTCCCATACAGACACAAATTACCCATAGCCTTCTCTACACCCACCCACCCACACACATGCCTGTGATTTCTCCAAGTAAGACATACAAGTGGATCCATGAAACAAAAAAAAGAGACCAAAAAGTTCTGGTAGTTTTTCAAAGAAGAAGTATTAATATGGATAAGCAAGAAGCCAGCATAAAGGGAGAGAGTTAATACTGAGTTAATACTGACAAGGACTATGGCTAACCAGAAAAGTGAGCTAGGGCAACTTCCAGAGCTTGAGACCCAGTGTCCCCTCCTCCCCCACTGGATTTCATCCTGGCCATGGCTGAACTGATCCAAAAGAAGCTGCAGGGAGAAGTGGAGAAATGCCAGCAACTACAGAAGGCCCTGTGTAAATCCATGTTGGGGAGGCGGAAGCTTGAGGCACAACGAACAGAATACAATATTTTGAAGGAGGCACTGACACTGCTGGATGGGTCCAGTGTGGGTCTTCACACTTCTGGGTCCTTTGCTGGTCAAACAGGAGCCAGGGGAGGCTCAGGCCACAGTGGAGAAGATGCTGGACTACATCCGAGCTGAAATGAAGCAATGCGCATCCCAGCTCCAGAACCTCAAGTGGCAGTCAGAGCAGCAGAGGGAGACCCTTGGTCAGCTACAGCAGGAGTTCTGGCAGGCCCTGGTGAAGGCAGGGGCTCCTGGGAGGGAGATGGGGTGGTCTGGGGAGGAAGGGATTGAGGTAGCTTTAGGGTCTACATTATAGGTGATGAAACATAAAGGCATCTAACCAAGAAATAAAAAGTGAGAGAAAGCGAGTCAGTACAATATAAATTTTAGTACAAAGAAGATTTAATAATCACCTAGTCCAGTCCACTCATCCTCCAGATACATAGACAGACAAGTATCCAGAAAGGGGAAGACAATTACTTGAAGTCACCCAGAAGTCATGTTTCTGAGTCAGACTCAGCCTCTGGCTTTCCCACTGCAGATCTGTCTTCCTGATTTCCATGTTGAACAGCAGGTCGCAAAGGCTCTGTTACCAGGTCTGATATATGCAGGAAGTGTCACCCGAGAACAAGAGGCCAACCAGGGCTTTCAAAGCAACTGCAGCTGTCACTGGGTAATGGGCACCATTTCTTGATGAGATGAACGGCCCGCGATAAAGGTGTGCGAGGTGGGACAGAGCGAGTGCCTGTGCATACTCAGTGCTCCAAACACATTTGGAAAGAGCTCAGGTATTAGGACAATAAAAGACAAAAATTGCCCAGCAAGGTTTTCAAGTTGATGAGTCATTGTCACACTGGCAGGAGAGAATGACCTCACTTGGGTCTGTAGGTGCGCATGTGTTGAGGTGACTTACACCTTGCAGCTCACTCACATGATGGAAAATGTCACTAACATCTCTAGGAGCAGTCACTATGAAAGGGGCAGGCCCTGGGTGGGGGAGGCTCTGGCTAGTGATACATAAAGGGGCCACCTAGAAAGGGAGTTGAGCAAAATGAATAAAAAATCCTTAAACATATGCACATCTTCTGGATTCTACTATAACATACTTAGTCCCATTTACAGCTATTTATTTATTAGGGTGATCATTTCAATATTATATGAGTATATATATATATATTTCAACATTATATAAATAAATATATATATTTCTCTATAGAGAAAATTAATTGAATAAGATATTATGTCTGTAAGTGCTGGAAAATAGTGTGAACATGTAATAATACTTTATCATATGGAAAATGCCTGGACAACATCAAGGTCATATAAAATACTATAGTATGTAACATATAATCACACTTTTGTAAAAAATGGTCTGCAGTAAGTACAACTGTTGAGTAGAACATGTTTATTTTATTCTTTTAATATCTCTATAACATTCATTAAAATGATGCTTTAAATATTAAAAAATTAAGGCAGTGTCAGTTGATGAGTTAGAGGAAAAATGTCTGTCCAGAAACTTTGAGAAGCCCTCTAGCAGTTTCCTCACCAGAGCCCCAAAGGTGAAAGGGTGGAGGTCCAGGGCCGTCGGCCTGTTTTCTGTGCTATGTCAGAAAATCCGCAGTGGAGCTCTAAATCTTTCTGTGGGAAACCCCAGTACACTGTTCCGCCTCACTCGCAGAGACCCAGTTTCACCCGCTGACTTTGTCACTGCAAGCTGAAGGCTAAAGGGTCCTTGGCAGAGGTGTAGTTCTCCTCCCAGCCCCTTCTCTGACGCCCCTCCTTTGCTGTGCTGTACGCCGAACGTCCACCCAGCCAACAGCAGAGGGCACCACACTACCTCCGTGTGGGGAACTGGCGGCACAAACTGCTCACGTGATGATGAGCAGCAGGTTTGCAATGTTATAATGGGTCTTACCTAGCGCCGATTTGATTTCCTTTCCTAAGTTTAGTTTTGTTTCGTCACTGTCACATTCACATTTTTTTTGCCCTGGTAGAACCGTGAGTCTATATGTTTGTGTAAAGAAAAGATAGTGCTGCCTGCTCTAGACAGAAACCGGTGAATAAAAGCGCTCCCACTGTGCTGTTTCCTTCTTGGACATCCCTGCCAAGCACGTCCTTGGTCTGGCCCTCCATCTCCCTGCTTAACTTGATCCTCTGCCTTGTTTCTCTTCCTGTTTCCTATTGTTCTTTTTTCCGATTTACGTTCAATATTCATCCAGCCTGGACACATTATACACATCCCCAGAACTAAGAGGCCCATCTTGACTTTTGAGTCTCACTGGACTCCTTCGGGCCTGGCCCGTTCACAGGCACAGCCCTCAGATGTGCTCTAGCGTGTGCCGAACTGCCCCCAGCTCCCTCTCCAAGCTCTCATCCTGAATTCGTGTCTGACTCCTCTGAACCGGAAGCCAAGGCGAGGCAGGCAGGATCCTTTCAAGGGTCTCTGTACCTAGAGCCCAGCCAGCTGCCTGTTTAATAGAAGGACTTATTTAATTCCTGCTGAGAAGTTTCAACTTTCCTTGAAAGATGAAGAACTTAAAGACAGAGAAGAGTTGTTACAGATGTTATCTCTTCAGCCCTGGCACCATGTACTTCTATGGGGTGGTGGAGACATATTATTTAAGAAATAGAAACCCTTTTAAAACATGTTAGTCTTCAAGTATCCATAATCATTCTAGCTTACATTTTTTAAAACCAAGTACAAACAATAGTTGCCCCTAGCTGAAAGGTAAAAATTAAAATTAATTATTATCAGTTATGGTATGATAAATGATTTAATCTAAAAAGCCCATAATTTCAGTGGCTTAGAGAAAAATGACTTTATCTTGGGCAAGTGTCAGAGTTCAGTGTGAACGGGCAGGGAAGTTCTGTTCCACTCAGTCACTCGGGCGTTCAGGCTCCCTGACCTGTGTGAATCCATCGTGTTCGAGGCGATAAAATTTCGCACTGCTGTGTGAGCCTGGAAAAAGTCTGGATATGGAGCAAGAAAACTTACTGCTGGGGCCCAAAGATGATATTCATCACTTCTGCCCACATTTCACTGGGTAAAGTGCATATTTCTATGAGCCAGTTAACTGTCCCAAGCCTAGAACTATAGACTACACCTGTGCCCTGCCCAGGAGAGAGAAGAACATATGGACATCCATGATCAATCAAAGCCTGCTAGAGTTCGCTTTTTTGTTCATAAGATATAAATTTTCTCTTTTTTCTCATTCATAGAAAATACCTTCTCCCGAAGAAGTCAGCACAATGTGTTACATCTTTTTCATCCTCTACCTCACTGTCTGTAGTCTCTGAATTATGTACAATCTTCTCCATCAGTTCCTCAGGGACCAGGTCTCATAGGATCCAAAATTTTGATATAAAAAAACCAAGTACTTCTGCCTCATTGCCTGTGCACCATGGCATAGTGGAAACTTCAATAAAAGCATCCATGTAATGAAGATGGGAGTTGAAATGAAATAAAGAATGGGAGTTGCTGTCCTCAGTGAGTCTCAAATCCCACCTACCAGGTAGTATGAAACGCACACTCTCCTTGATTTTGCCCCCTGGAGGACACTCCCTGTTCCTCCGTTCTGCATGCCTTATGACGACAGCTTCTTCAGTGTTCATTAGCTGTGGTTATGCTTGTAAGTGCTTGAGGCTCTTAGTACAACCCTTGGTTGGCCATACTGCACACTGTATCCTTGGCTGAGATGTACTTCTTCAAAAGCTTGGAAGTTTTAACTGAGGCTGTCCCCCCTCTTCCATTGGGTAGAGGCTGGGGGTGAAGATAGCTGAATTTTTTATTTTGTTATTTTCTGAACCAGGAACAACTGCATGAGGCCATATGAGACTGACAGAACTTTGCACCCTGAA